CTTGTTGTCTGGATCTGTTGGTTGCTTCGCCTCGTTGTCTGATTGCACATCGGCTGGTCTTTGAGTTCGTTTTGGGGAAGCATTATGTTGTGCATTGGTCCTAGGTTGCTGCTGTGGGTGGAAGAAAGGTAATGGCGGAGGCCCGGGTTGCTGCTGTGGATGGAAGAAAGATAATGGCAGAGGCCCAGGTTGTTGCTGCGGGTGGAAGAAAAGTAATGGCAGAGGCCCAGGTTGCTGCTGCTGCTGCAGCAGGTGTAATGGCGGAGCACTAAATTGCTGCGGGTGATTTAAATGTAATTGCAGAGCCCTAACTTGCTGTTGGTGGTGTAGATGTAATGGATTCCTTTGTAATCGACGATTGACAACTGGTTGTCCTTGAACCCGAGGGCGGTCTCGCGGTATTTGGACATGCGTTCGAACCTGTCCTCTAGCCTGAGGTTGGTGTATTTGGGGAGTGGGTGCTTGATTTTGGGCTGTGTTCCCAGATGTCCCTGTATTTGTGACTCTCGTGGGAGACTCTGGTGTAGGGGGACAGCTAGAGTCTGGCGTGGGACAGTTCTTGCTTCCAGATTCCGGTGAAGTTGCAGAGTATTCACTAGACCTGTCCATTTCGTCGGTCATACTCGTAGTTTTAGACTTAACACTATGTTTGATACAAGTAGCCCTTGGCCGTAGGAAGATATTGTGCTCGGGCATAGTTTTTCTCTAGTATGGTCGTCGTATAATCGCTCACCTAGTGGTTATTATATTCAGTATGCTATATAGAGTTCATGAGCTTGGGCGGTTACGTATGTGAAATGCTCATGAGGAAGTCGTACCCGTAAGAGTATAAAGGCGGCCAGAATACGTTGCTACTAGTATATTGCTGTGAGAGTTAGATTTGGGAAATGCAAGTGCCACCTTCGCCCAGGGCTAAGGAACTCAACCTTGAGACTGGCGGTCAAACATACCTAGAGAAAGGAAAGTTTTCAATAGCTACATCGAGAAATAATGACGGATATGTTGCGTTGAAGTTGATAATGGGACAATACGATAGCGTCTCCGATAGTTCTGCGAGCAAAGCGCGGTATGGTAAGATGGTGTTCGCGTGGTATAAATATGGTATCAAGACTCTTGGATGTCGATATGGAAAAGTGCATATCTTTTATTATTAGTTACACGAAGGGCAAGAATGGATTGCATTTGTGCGCCCGGGCAGGGAGCAGCATACAAACTTCATCACACGATCACAAAAGCAAACAGACCAAGCGTTTAGACCATTTATACGTGGTTTGTTGTGTCAATTTCAGCATCACTTCTCTAACCAAATACTGGGCTCAAATAAGCACTCACGACGACCGGAGTTTGCCCCTACAACTAACTAATGTCTATTTGACTGAGAGAAGGCTCCATCTCAATGGGCTGTCTGAAATTTGTTTGACCCTCCTACGAAGTAAAGGATATCATTTAAGATAAATACAGTAAGCGTCAGTGCTTCGGCCCTTCGCGACCAACACGGTCAATACCCCATCCAAAGGGGGCATCCTCTGCAAACCAGACATGGATAGCATTCTCAATCTGTGTAAAACGTCATGAGGTCTGCACGCAAACATATAAGCCTATCTTCTGGACATGAATAGAGATTAAAGCAATTTTTTTGAGAATCCGAGATTCTTTTAAACCTAATCGTGTCGTGCTGATGCTCTGATATGAGGCAGTTTCGCACTGCAGTTATTTGTGAATAAGTGCAAGCCCGGATCCGATCTGGGTATTAACATTTGCTCGATGGGAGGATGCCTCATTGTGGCCG